TTTTTTTTTGTTTTGTTTTGTTTTTTTATCTTTTGCTAAATTGCGGGCTACTCAATGGTAAGGAACAAGTCCTTTCATTTCTTTAATGCCTTGCACAAATGCGATGCACAGCAAACAGTTGCCTAATTGGCAGTCTTCTAAGTTAATAAGTAATTCCCAAATAAAATTGGAAAATGCTACAGCAATAGCTCTTATATTTTCTCTGATTGGTACAAATTCACTTGGTAGAACTATATTTGTAGTACCAAAGTAAATTACCAAAAGTTCTTATATCCTTAAGTCAGAGTTTTCAAAATGAGGTTTTAGAGAAAGGTTAATATGGAAAGTAGTAAACTTGGGGTATGGCTTTGTAGGGGTTTACATATTTGCTAAAGTTGTTAATACCTTCAGTGAATTCTTGCGGAGTTCAGAGCATGGAATAGATGTAATGACATTTCAGGAAGGCCATGGGATAGGTTTTAAGAACTGAGTGAAGAGGGGTTGGTACTATTTTTGATACTGTGTTAAGCTCTCATTTGTTTTCTGTGTTTTATACTACCCTGTAAACATTTAGCTATCCAAGCATTGATTATAGACTCAGACTTGGAGAGTTTTCTTAGGAGTCATGGGAAAAGCATCCCACGAGGGCCTGCCCAAAGCTGATGCCAGACTCCTGCCCTAGCTGAGACTTGTACTCCTTTTGGCTTCTGTCAAGGTTCTTTCTAGGAAGTTCCAAACACCATGCAGTGCATTTGACAGGCAGACTCAGAGGAGACCAATGCTGGATCCACATTAGGTAAAAATTGTTGAGAGAAGGCTTGCATTCCCACCATCTCAGTCCATGGTCATCAAGCAATATTTTAAGCTGGGGAGAAACCCCATTCTAGTCTGGCTACCATCTCTCTGTCCCAGCTTGTTCATGCTGTGGGCAAAGATATTACAGTCACATTAACTAGTCCTAGAAATAAGAAAAGAAAAGGGCCACTTTGGGGTCTTGTCATCACATGTAGGAAAAGGGATGGATTTTTTGTACGATAAAGATTTCTAAGACATGGATACCAAATGTCCCCAAATTAGACAATCCCAATGAAAGGGAACATCTGTCAGATACATTGGTAGAAAACTCCCAAGTGTATTATAATTTGATGAAGCTCTGAAATGCGATCCCACTTCTGAAGGTTGTTTACCCAGGGTCCTGGAAGAGTCATCTGGTGTCTCTGGCAGCCCTGTCACACATGCCGGCACGCCTTTGTGGTGTTTAGATGCATATTGTTTCCTGGTTTCCCACTGTGCATGTATATGGCTTACAAAGTAAACGCTTCTGAGAACTCTGTGTTCTTTTCACACAGGAACATTTATGAAATAAACATATTTCAAGCCCTATACATTTGTTTTTCAAGGACCCAAAAACAATCAGTTGAATTAGACACTAAGTTCTGTTTATTTAAAAAAAAGAAAAAGAGTTAGTGATGAGTTATTTAAAAAAAAAAAAAACAAGGCTAGTAGTCAGTGATGCAAATTAGATTTTGGTTGAAAATTAGGCAAGAGAAAAATAACAGTTTCTAAACCAGTGACCTTTTTCTTTTTCCTGGCCAAAAAGCTGTGAATTTTAAGGTGATATCATCAGAGCCGGCACTGAGTATGCTTTACCTCTCCCTCGTTCCCAGACTGTTGGCAGTTCCAGCAGTGAAACCGAAGGTTAAATGGGCAGCAGAGACTGCACAGCCCTCTTCTCCGAAAGGTGTGGGCTCTGTTCTTGGCTTGAGCCAGTTGGTGGGAGTGGTTTGAAGAAAACCAGCTTCGTCACTCCCTGTGCTGTTCCCACTCTGTGCATAAAAAGAGGACTGCAGCCCCTGAGGCAGACCA